GCGCGTAGACACGGCACACACGGGGGTACACCCGGCAACCCGGCGACGCTCTCCACAGTTAGCCACCTACGCGGACTGGGACAGGCACACACCCCGGCACACGCGGAGTACACACACACACACACAGGCACACATCCTCACCGACTTGGGGACCTTAGTCCAGCCACCCACCCCCGTGGACACGGACATTCACTGACACACGCAGACACCCACACGGACACAGTCACATCACTGACACACACAGACACTGAGGCAGACATACTCCGACAAACTCAGGGACACCTGCATGACTCAGAGACACACATCCACTGACACACTGACACAGAGACACACACACACACAGAACCACAGTCTCCTAGAGACACACAGGGACAGCACACAAGTCTGCACAATGCTAGACACCTATACTGACACATAGGCACACACTGACACACACCACTGACAGAAACACACACCCAGACCCGAAATAGGGACACAACGAACAAACACCAAACACTCAAACCAAAACACACACACTCACTTCACTCTGTTGAGCTACAGACAACCTACACCTTGCCACACACGGAGACACTCACATGCTGATACTGAGATAGACTGTCATCACACACGGACCCAGAGACCCATACACTGACATAGTTGCTCACACACACAGTCTAACCCACAGGGAAACGTACCCAGGACCACACACCCTTTTTAAAAGAAACAGGCTACCAGCTTTTGCCCACCAGTAACATGATTGAAAGGGATGGGCTACTGCCCAGAGCCGTCACAGGAGCACACACATGTGTACACACACACACACACACACACAACACAGCCTTTGTCTTCCTTAACAGCAGCATTCTAATCTCTCCTGACACATTTTCAAGACTCCTAGAGATAAGAATCGCTCTCAGAAGGCAAAATGGGTGCTGTGTTTGGGAGCTCTGGGGCTGAGACCTGTCCCCCCCCCCCATTATTGGGATCTTGGAGAGGTCAAGGGGTGGGGAAAGGGGGGCATCCTCTATTTTGGACCTAGGTTTGGAGCTTCAGGGGTCCCTGGATCTCATATATACTGAGGAGCTACCCGTGCCTGCAGGAAGGGCCAGGACAACCAGCCCAGAGTAGGGGAATCAGTAAGAAAGCCAGTCTCCAGGAAAGTTCAGGACACTGGACGCTTTCTGACCCGGAGTCTGGGAGGGTGGCTTGGCGCCAGACAGACGAACCACATTCCCGCCGCCTGCCTCTAGTCCTCTGACGGGCCTCAGGTTGGGCAGCATCGCCCACTAGCGGCCAGAGAGGGAAGTGCAAACAATGTCAAATTTCCAGCCTCGCGTTGGACCACCCGAACCCACGCATCCTAGGTGGGAGGAGAGGGAATCAGAATCCGGGTCTTCCCTGAGGTCTTCCACCAGGCTTTGCAGACGGACATTGAGCCAAGCAGGAGACTGAGCTAGAATGGAGGCTGCTGTGGGTGAGCTTAGAGAGCCTCCCTCCCTCACTTCATCTACATCTGGCAGAGGTGGGGTGTTCAAATTACTCCTTAGTGCTGGGCACCTGGATGTCACCAGCAGGAGAAGCACACACCCTAGATTTAAATGAGGGGAGAGAAGCTCTGAGAAAGAGGATCCAGAGCTCTGACTTGGTTCTGATTCAGAGATTCAGGCAATATATCTGGTGGTAGCCCTGGAGGGCAGAAAAGGTCAAAGGGCCAGAGACGGGGCACCTCCTACAAGGAGCCCTTGTCAAGATCTGGGCAACTCCCTTCTGTTTGCCAGATCTTGTTTGCTTAAAGCGGGAACATGCAGTTGGCAGTCAGAGAACAATCCAAAGTTTTAAAAGCTAGTGTTTCCTTTTTTCCACCCTCCCCATCCATCTCAGGTTCAAAGTTGGGTTAAGCACTTCATCATGCATCCACACAGGAAGCCTCTCTTTCTTTTATTTCTTCCCCCTGCTACACCACCTCACTGTCATCTCCCTCCCCACATAGGTGCCCCCACTTACAGCTAAAGCAGTTCTTTAAATATGTACACATCTTTGTAAAATATACCATATTATTTGTGCCTTTAGTTTTTTCTCACGTGTTTTTACTGCCCCAGGCTTTTCTTTTTGTTTTACTTCTATTAAACTATAACCTACATATGGGAAAGTGTACAAGCCCCAAGGGTTCAGCTCAAGGGTTGTCACTGGTTGATCACATCCCTATAACCAGTACACAGGTCAAGAAACAAAACAGCATCAGCACCCCAGACGTCCCCTCCCTGCCCTCTTCCTGTCACCAACACTTCTCCCGTAGGGTTAACTGCTATACTCACCTCGAATTCCCTTGGTTAATTTTGCCTAGTCGTCCTACTTATTTAAGTAGCGTCGTATAGTACGAACTCTTGTGTCTGGTTCTTTTGATCAGCTTTGGATTTGTGAGAGTCATCCCGTTGCTGCTTGTAGTCATTTATATAGTTCATTTGTTCTCATGGCATAGAACTCCGCCATGTGAATATCCCACAACTTATTTATCCATGCCACAGTTGATGGGTGTTCTAGCTAGGAATTACTATGAATAGTGCAGCTATGAAGGTTCCAGGACGTGAATTTTGGTGACTGTATGTGTGCGTTTGTGCCAGGTGCACACCTGGGAGTGGCATTGCTGGGCCATGGGAGGGGGTGTGCTCATGCTTGGCAGACACTGCCAAACAGTTTTCCAAACTGGTTTTACCAACACACACTCCGTCAGCCGCGAATGTATGAGAATTCTGCTTCATCTGCATCCTCTAGCACTTGGTATTTTTATCTTTTTCATTTTAGCCACTTGAGTGGGTGTGAAGAGGTTTCATATTGTGGTTTTAATTGGCATTTCCCTGATGACTAATGAAATGGAGTGCTTGTTCATGGTTTATTGGCCATTTGTGTGTATGTGCTTCCCATTTATATAAAGGGGCATTGTTCTAACTTTCATTCTTTTTCTTGTATTTCTCCCTCAACACTTTGCTTTTGAGCTCTGTCCATGTTTTAGTGTGGGCAGCTAGTTCTTTGCTTCTGATAGCTGCAGAGCGTTCTGTGTTGTGCATCCACTGAACTTAATTTATCCGTTCTCCTCAAGATGGATGTTTGGAGCTGATGGAGCCACCACGCAGTGCTGGAGGTAAGGGCAGGAGATGTGCAGCTGTTGGCCCTGATGAGAGTGAACCACAGAGCCCACACTTTCATGCCTTCTTTTGTCTTTGTGTAAACAGATGAGATGGATTCTCTGTAATTTGCAGCCAGATTGTGCTGGGTGGGGAGGGATCTGGAAGCCCAGGTGCTCTTAATACAAACCATTTACCAGCCCTCTTGTGTTTAGCCACCCCCATTTCCAAAGGTACCCATTGTCTGGGTCCCAGAAACACCCCAGGGGTTCGAGGAGGAGGGCATCCTCTGCAGGCTCCTTGAATTCAGTCTTCCCTGCTCTGCTAAGTCAGTTACCACTCAAACGTCCAAGAAGTTGCCACATCTGCTGTTGCTTCCTCTTCCAGACTTTTTGCCCTTGTAGGTTTTCTGCCTTTTGAAGTAATTTCACTGTCATTTTGGTGGAATTTTAAGAGATGTCTTCAATCTACTATATTTTCAAAAAAGTCCTCCGTTTCAATTTCTACCCTAGTACATTTAAGTAGTTCATATGTTACCCTCAAGGACTGTTGGCGTTCTCCTCAGAAGAGACTTTGCTTTATTTTGAATGCTTGAGTAGTAGAGTGCCTCTATCTTAGCAGGAGCAGAGAAAAAGAGAAATGTATTCATGGTCAAGGGCAAGGACATGACCTGCTTCTAAAGGGTTGGCGACCTGATTGCCTTTGATACCTAGATGATGGACAAGAGAACACTCTTGTCGAGGGACCATCGCCAGATGGGATCTGCTGTCTCCTACATGTACCTTCAGCCCCAGTCAGACACCCAGCGCCTTACCTCTGCAAGCTCCTCATTAGCCCAAATGATGCTGGTCTGCAAATGAAGAGCCACCTTTCCTCCAGACACTCCACTGCCATCTGCTGGAGAGTTGAGAGAAAATAGACGTAAGTCTCTGATGTCTAGGAATATGCATGGTGCCCCAACACTGTGTGATGCACTGCTGTATGTGGCAGTCTGCCCCTGCCTCCACCTAGCCTATCCCCTCCTTGTAAAATGCTATCCCTCACCCACCAGCTCTGGCCAGTGCAGTGAATTAGAGAGCAGAGTTTGAAGAGTTGGAAGCTCAGAGCAGATTAACCACTGTTGTCCGGTGACCTTGGA